CTTGCACAATTTTTTTGGTTCATCTTCTCACCAAAATGCTGAATTCATACTGCATTAATTAACGTGCTACAAGCCAAGAGGCGATGGAAAAAAGAAAAAATATTTCCGCCCAACCTATTCAAAGTTTGTGGTCAAAATAGCTGTGTTGGATTGCTGAGTGCATTATCTACATTTATTTGACGCAGATGGTATTCATGTGAACATCCGAACGCGTAGAAGCCGAAATGAAAAAAATCGCAATTTTACTTGATTCTTTTGACACAGTTTGTTTGAGTTTTCACAAGACAACAGCACGTGCAAGTTGCGCTTTCGTTTGCGTCGCGCTGTTTTGAAATCGTAGGAAGATAAACACTTTTCTGTTTTAGTAGATGATACCTTAGCTGTTATCGCGGCTGTTGTCAAGCGTGAGCTGTCTTTGGGTTGCGGAAACGTTGCCGTTGTCAAAACTGTGAAACCTTAAACTTTTTAATTCTTTTTTGTGTCAGTGTCAGCAACTCTGTTTAGTTTAAGTTTTTGTTGTATCCTTCAAACTGGTCGGTTTTTGTGGTTTGTTTTTTTGTTTTTGTGTGTTTTGCTTGGTGGTTGCTTTTGTTTTGTGTTGTTTCTGTTTGGTTCTTGCGACTTGAATTAGCATCGTGACGGACCCATAGGACTGTGTATCTGGTCCTCCACTGGCATGGCTTTTTTGGGCACATCTTTTCACCAAGATGGCTGACATAATTACCACTTGCATTAATTCATTAACCTCATGCAACAGCGTGTTGATCGACCTGGCGAAAGCTAAGAGGCGATGGACGGAAAAAAAGTATTCTTCAAACTGGTGGAAACGAACAACTAAACACATCCGTGGTCATTTTTAAGTTACAGGGTTCAGAAGGAAGAGTCTGAATATTTGTTGTGTGGGTGCCATTTTGATGTCAAATGACATGGATGGCGCGCATGAGCTCGCACCCTTGTCCCACCCGCACATTCTTCCATGTCTCTTTCTCTTCTTCTGGCCTAATCCTAGTCGTTTGTTGATGGCACCCGGGATATGATATACCCGAACCTATTCAAAGTTTGTTGGCAAAATAGCTGTGTTGGGTTGCTGACTGCATTATCCATCCGATGCGAGGTCGTTTTTGTTTTGTGGCGGCGCATCCATAGATTTGTAATTTTGTGTCTACGATTTATTTGACGCAGATGGTATTCATGTGAACATCCGAACGCGTAGAAGCCCGAATGAAAAAAATCACACTTTTACTTGATTCTTTTGGTTTGATCTGGATCAAGCGCTTTGGCGTCACACAGTTTGTTTGAGTTTTCACAAGACAACAGCACGTGCAAGTTGCGCTTTCGTGTTTGCGCCGCGCTGCTTGGAAATTGTTGTAAGATAAAGAGGCTGCAGTTTTTTTCCGCTGCAAACATGTATTTTTTCCGCCTTAAGCTTTTCCTGCCTCCAACACGCGTTTTTTGCACAGACTTAAGGAGACTTGAGGGAACTTAGTGAAATTAAAAGAGGTTTGCAGAGACTTCGCGAGACTGAAGGAAACTTCAAGAAGCTTGAGGCGGCTTCAGAGACTTAAGGCGACTTAAGGCGACAGAGGGGACCCAAAGAGACTTAAGAGACTTGAGACAACTTATATAATTTATTTTTTTGGCTGTCGTTGTTGTTGTTGTTGTGGTTGTTGCTGTGGTTGTTGTTGCTGCTGTTGTTGTTGCTGTTGTTGTTGTTGCTGTTGTTGTTGCTGTTGTTGTTGTTGTTGTCGTTGTTGTTGTTGTTGTTGTTGTTGTCGTTGTTGTTCTCGTTGTTGTTCTCGTTGTTGTTAATGTTGTTGTTAATGTTGTTGTTGTTGTTGTTGTTGTTGTTGTTGTTGTTGTTGTTGTTGTTGTTGTTGTTGTTGTTGTTGTTGTTGTTGTTGTTGTTGTTGTTAATGTTGTTAATGTTGTTCATGTTGTTGTTAATGTTGTTGTTAATGTTGTTGTTGTTGTTGTTGTTGTTCATGTTGTTGTTAATGTTGTTGTTAATGTTGTTGTTAATGTTGTTGTTAATGTTGTTGTTAATGTTGTTGCTAATGTTGTTGCTAATGTTGTTGTTAATGTTGTTGTTAATGTGGTTGTTAATAACGTTGTTAATGTCATTGTTAATGTCGTTGTTAATGTCGTTGTTAATGTCGTTGTTAATGTCGTTGTTAATGTTGTTGTTGTTGTTGTTGTTGTTGTTGTTGTTGTTGTTGTTGTTGTTGTTGTTGTTGTTGTTGTTGTTAATGTTGTTGTTAATGTTGTTGTTGTTGTTGTTGTTGTTGTTGTTGTTGTTGTTGTTCTTGTTCTTGTTGTTGTTGTTAATGTTGTTGTTAATGTTGTTGTTAATGTTGTTGTTGTTGTTGTTGTTGTTGTTGTTCATGTGGTTGTTCATGTTGTCGTTAATGTTGTTGTTAATGTTGTTGTTAATGTTGTTGTTGTTGTTGTTGTTGTTGTTGTTGTTGTTGTTGTTGTTGTTGTTGTTGTTGTTCATGTGGTTGTTCATGTTGTCGTTAATGTTGTTGTTAATGTTGTTGTTAATGTTGTTGTTTGTTGTTGTTGTTGTTGTTGTTGTTGTTGTTGTGGCCGTCGTCGTCGTTGTCGTCGTCGTCGTCGTCGTTGTCGGGGTACTTGTCATCGTCATGGTTGTCATCGTTGTCATTGTCGTTGCTGTGGTCGTAGCTGCAGCTGTGCCTGTTGGTGTCATGTGGTGAAAGGGGCAGCCCGGAGGAAAGTCATTGTATGCGTTCCATGGCATGTGCTGCTCCCCATGCTCCTCATGCTGCACATATTGTCCATGCTGCCCATGCTGCTGCGGGTGGTGGTGGTGGTAATGGTGGTGATGGTGGTGATGGTGGAGGTTGTAGTGGTGGTGGTGGTGGTTGTTGTTGTGGTTGTTGTTGTGGTTGTGGTTGTTGTTGTTGTTGTTGTTGTGGTTGTTGTTGTTGCTGTTGTTGTTGTTGTTGCTGTTGTTGTTGTTGTTGCTGTTGTTGTTGTTGTTGTTGTGGTTGTTGTTGTTGTTGTTGTTGTTCTTGTTCTTGTTCTTGTTCTTGTGGTTGTTGTCGTTCTTCTGCTTTTTCTTCTTCTTTTTGCCGTTCTCGCTTGTATCCACTACCGTTGAAACATGTCGCTGCGTCCACCGCTGCACGTTTCAACTTTTCATTCGCGGACGGTTGGTTCAATGTTTGGTCGCCTTTGTCACCTATTTGTCCATGCGCTATCCAGTTTACAAGTGGCGAACGCCCACAAGTGGCGAACGCCCAATGTATGACTCTACGTTCTCTATAGCTCCTTGTCTCCGCGCAGCGCGCGAAAAACACAGGTTCGCAGCAGGAAAAAAACATCGGAACGGAAAAAAACACGTTTGGCAGCAGGAAAAAAACGCCGTGCAGCGGGAAAAAACAGTTTCCGCAGCAAAAACGCCAGCAAAAAATGCCGCTTCGCAGCGCGAAAAATTCAAAGCAGCAGAAAAAACCCCTTGCAGCAGCAAAAAAACACTTTTGCAGCAGAAAAAATGCATTTTGGAGGCAGCGGGAAAAAACCGTCCGAGGCGGGAAAAAACCCCGTCCGAGGCAAGAAAATAAACGGCCGAGGCAGGAAAAAAACCAGCAGCAGAGAAAGCCCAGCTTTGCAACCCAAAAAGTCGCCGCAACGGAAAAATTACATGTTCGCAAGATAAAGGACTGTGTGTTTGTTATTGCTGAATGTGTGTTTGCCACGTGTGGCCTCTTTTGTCCTCGCAGCATCTCGGAGCGACATTAAAACGAATTTAGACATGGTAATCTACGAACGAGACGAAACATCCACCAACCAGCGTCGCACAGTTGGTTGTTTCGCGCAAACGACCACGTAGCACATGGTGCTCGAAGTGGAAGACATAAACTTTCACAGACAGACGCCTTTTACACAAGGGAAACTTTACACAGAAAAACTTTTACACAACTTTTACACAAAGACGACAGCCCACGACCAAGACAAATTTGCATTTCACCACACATGTGTGCATCCGACGCGCTCGATCTCTGCAGAGGGTTGCTGCATAAGCTCAACTCCGATTTCACACGTTTGTGCGTCCGACACGCACGATCTCCGCAGAGGGTCAGGTTTCGCGCCGCCTGGCTGTCCCTGCCGCCAAAAGAGAGATATGTAGAAAAATTGAGGAGTAGGAATCGTGTAGGTGCTCAGATGCAAGTAGATCACCTGGAAGTTAACTTCCGTGTCGCAACTCCGGTGTAAGAACTCCTGTATAGCAACTACTGTAGAACAACTTCTGTGTCACAGAAACAACTTCTGTGTCACAACCCATGTATACAGACTCCCATGTAACATTTCCCGCGCAAATGCCATTGTGTAGCAATTCGTATGTAGCAACTCACGTTTCCTACATGTTTCACATCACCTACTTCACCTACATCATCTACATCAACTTCATCTACATCACATACGTCATCTACATCTCTTACACCTCCCCTGTATCGTTTCACATCACCTACATCACCTACATCTACATCTACATCACATCTACACCTGCGCCGACACCTACATCTAAATCTACATCTACATTTACACCTACATCGCATACATTATCTGCATCATCTATCTATATCAATTTCATCTACATAAACTCCCTGTATTCATCTACATTATCACGAAAGCTAGCGTCAGCTAGCTGGAGTCTTCTTGCTTTAGCAAGTATTCCGGGGGCTGCTCAAAGACATCACGTGATTTTTCACGCGAAAGGGGCCCCCCCCGTACGTTCGACACTTGGAGGCTATAACGCAAGCCAAGAGGCTATGGATCAATACTAATCAAAAGGCAGCCAAGCAAACCATAGGCGCAAAATGGACGCAACTGATTCCGCCTGCTTCGGGACGTAATAGGCTTTCCAGAAAGACATGCCGATGAAGCCGCTGGAACCGCTGGCGCTGATCAGGCAAATTGAGCCGACGAGGCCGCTGGAGCCGCTGGAGCCGCTGAGGCCGTTGGAGCCGATGAGGCCGATGGAGCCAATGAGGACGCTTGAGCCGATGAGGCCGATGGAGCCGCTGGAGCTGATGAAGCCGATGAGGCCGATGAGGCCGATGAAGCCGATGAGGCCGATGAGGCCGATGAAGCGATGGAGCCGAGCCGATGGAAGCCGCTGGAGCCGCCTGGTGGCCGATGAGGCCGATGGAGCCGATGAGGCCGATGGAGCCGCTATTGGGGCTTGATGAAATATGCTCACTTACTCTGCATCGCTTGGATTCACTCTGAGTGCGGTTGATGCTCGCACACAGCGCATCCTTGTCAATGTGCTCTCTGGTGGTCGCACCAATACCCGTAGGTGCTTAGAAGTTAGTCTTGCTCTTCTCAGTCCTATTCATCGGTCCTCTATTCCTCATGCGCTGCTTCATGAACAGGTTGCGTTGTTGTTTCGGCTGGCAAATACCAATTTGGAATATCAACAGCTTTTGCAGTCCCATTTCCATTTATGTTCTGAAATGACTTGTCCTCCTGCTGATTCCTTTTATGTTCGGCTTCAACAGGCCCTTCAGGCTTTTGGGTGGAGGTGGGTTGCTTGGAATCAACTGGCGTCTCAAAACGGACAAATGTTTCATCTAGTCTGCAAGACCATGGAATGTCGCCGCAGAGTTATGTGTCAATCCTTCGCCCAGGCCTCTGATATGGCTGATGTGATGAAAACTTTTGCAAGCACACGTTTGCTTCATAAGAGGGAACTGCATCAACATAGCCTTTCATGCTTGCATGCTTTGCGCGATGCCATGCGCCATGTGTTTATGTTTTTTGAAGGATGCTAGTCGGCGCAAAAAGGGGTGGGGGGGGGGGGGGGGGGGGGTGGGAGACGTGACTAAATTTGTTTGGGGCGGCCCCAAAAAACACTGTTGGAACATGTTGATCGGGCTCTGTTGCGTCGTGTTCTGGGTTCCGATGAGGTTGCATGCAGTATTCGTTGTATTATGCAAGGTGCCACTCTCACTGCTGATCGTCTGAGCCGGTCTTCTCGCGGTACTGTGTCTGCTACTTGTCCGTTTTGTCGCCTTGGTGTTGAAACCGAGATTCATCGTTGGTGGCAATGTCCGCGTTGGGATTATGTCAGGTCTTCCTGCTTGGGTGAGCATGCCCCTGTGATTTGCGCCCAGCTTGCTGCAAGCGACTCTGTCGCATCAATTTGTGGCATCCCCACTCTGGGTTTGTCAGCTTTTCTACAGTCAAAGTGGGTAGACATTTGTGCTTGCATGGCGGCTGTTTTGGGAGCTGCCAATGAACATGATCAGTAATTTTTTCGTTGGCTCTCAGTTTTGGCGTGCATCGGCACTGTGTCCGTTTTGTGGATGCTTTGTCCTTGGCTGTGCGCATTTCTTCTCGAATTTGATCCTTGTGATTCTTTTGTATAGCTTGTCTGGCTTGGATCTTTTGTTGAATCCGGGGCAGATTGCATTCATGCGCTTTTCCAGCATGATCTTTTGGCAACAATTTTGTGGGCCTGTGGCCCTTCACCTGGGGTAACAGATTCAAGTTCTTTTCTTGGGTCCGAGATCCCTCATCTGCATTTTGTAGGTGAAAATTGGATCAAGATGAGGCCGATGAGGCCGATGAGGCTTCACCAATATCCAGACACTTTGACCGCAGTGGTGAGGCCAATCAAGTTTCTTTGAAGCTTGGTTCCAAGTCTGGAAAGCAGCAACTCCCAGAGTCTAGTAGCACAAGCAAGTCATGCAACCTTGTTTGTTTCGTAGACGAGATTAGTAACACCGTTTTTGCTCTTTTGACTTTGTTTGCATCATTGTCTTTTGAGCCAGTTGTGCAAATCACCAGAATGCTTCGCCTTCACTGTTGGAATATCCTTCTGGGTATTTGTGTTGGGTTGACTGTCTTGACCAGTTGTTTTTGCGGATTTGACTTGACTTGCTTTTTGCTGCTGCCTTTCCGTGATGGTAGCCTTTGTTTGCTTGAGTCCTTGCTGATTGTCCTTCTCAATCTTGCGGCGCAGTGGGTTTGTCTACTGGCCCTGGTGTGCGTGGCAGTCATGCATGTGCCTTCTAAGCTGACAGTGTGTCGTCGCTCTCACGTTGTTGTTGTCCGGAAGTCTTTGTGGCCGGATCTTCTTGGGGGCACTGGTTTGGAGGAAATTGGTTCCAAGTCATGGTTGGACAACATCTTGCAGGGCTTGAATGCCCGACAACTGAAGCCACCCATGCAGCAAGTTCGGATGCTCGCGCAAGATGAAGCCACTTTGCGGCGACTACAAAAAAGTGAATCGCTGAAACATCAGCTTGACATTATTTGTGGCGCTGCTTATAAGGCCAAGTTGTCGTGGAAGAAAATTGATCAAATTGACCCTGTTTCTTCTTCTCTCTCAACTGCTGCCCCGCCGGCTCCTCCTCCTTTGCCTGAAGTGCAAACATGGAGGTTGCGTGCTCGTGACTGGAAAGTTGTGAAACCAGCAGCTACCGATGGTGACGCTGTGAGTGGAGAAAGGCATGATGCATTTCGCGATGTGGCTGATGGGGACCCTTTGTCGCACTTGTGGTCTCGCAAGTTAGGTGCCTATTTTGTGTCTGCGGTTGAGGCTACTCGCATTGTTCGGTCCGTTCCTGCCCATGCCCCTCCAGTTGGTGTTTTCACTCTTGTCACTCTTGAAGCAACTGCGCGTTCTGAGGTGCAACCGGTCGAGACTATTGTTGTCTTTCCTGACAATAGTCATCACATTTACAAGGTTTTTCTCACGCACCTCGGCACTGACAAGTTGAGAACTACTGCTTGGACTACGGTATCGCTTGCTTCGGTTGATTCTGTTGAAGTGTTGCTTGAATGGTGGAAAGATTTGTCTGATGGAGCTGTTTTGGCTGCCTTTGATAAATTTGTGAAACTTGCTTCTTCGCCTGTTGATTCTGATAAGGACTCCTTGGCCAACAAGGGCAAGTCCAAAGGCAAAGGCAAGACCAAACATGGTAAACTGCCTCACCGTTTGTCTGACACTTTGGTCGCGAATTTGAATTCACACGTGAGTCATATGCTTGGCGATGCCACTGGCCAAAAGCTGGCTGGCGCATGGACCGCCTCCGGCCACAATGTCAGGGCTGATATCATTCGCGTTTCTGTTCGCCTCCCAAAAGCGGATGCCCTTACCTGTTTGAAATCGGGAACGCAGCACAGTGCCGTTTTGGTTCGGGATATTCACACCATTCCCGAGGCGAAAGACTTGTGTTGCGTCTGGATTTCTCCTGGCTGTCCTGTCCTTGAAGGTTCTGCGGCCCACACTCGCCAAAGTTTGCAGTTGTATTTGGCTAGCTTTGCTCACCCTTGGTCTGTTGTGCGTACTCCTTTTCGTTGGGGGATCAGGATCCACAAAGATCATGAGAGAGAAGTTAAAGCCATTGTGCAGCCGCATGCTGTGTTTGTGCCTGCTGATCACTTCAAGTATCGTATTGCGCATGTTCCCAGATCCCTTGATCCTGCTGTTCTGGTTGCCACTCTGACCTCTGACTCGTTCAAGCCCTACTTGGTTTCGTCTTTCAAGGGAGTTGTGACCATAGCTGCGCTCTGTCCACCTGCGGACATTGTGTTTACAATTGCTGAGCTTGGTTGTACTCTGTTACTTCAGCATCTTCCTGGTCCTGCCAGTGGTGGTCCTCCTCTTGTCCCGTCCCGCCATGTTGAAGGTGCGAGCCCAAAGCGAAAGAGTCGGCGAGCTGACTCTGAAAATGCTTCTGTTGGTCCTGACAATGACCATGGTGCTGACACTCGGGGTGGAGCTAAGGGAGGGGTTCTTTCTACTAATCCGTTTGGTCCTTTGGATGATGCCTATCAAGTTGTTTTTCCGCCTTTGCCCAACGCTGGTGTTGCTCGGGAGCTCGCTTCGACCGAACCTGAGTTTGAGCTTGGAACCCTGCCTAATCTCGGGAACACATGTTTTGCGGCTGTGGCTGTCCGTTGTTTGGCTCACATTGTCAAAAAGTCGGATTTGCGCTCGTCTGTCCTTCAAGATGTTTCCTTGAGGCGTTTGTTGGATGACTTGTCGCCGGCCCAGTGGACGCGCTTCATCAAACATCATCACCTCGAGCATGGTCAGCAGCAAGATGCTGCTTTGTGGTTGCAGAAGTGGTTGGACTCTGAGTCGGTTTTGTGTTCGCATCTTTCTGTCACTGAACATGTTGCTCTTGAATGTGTTGGGTGCAGTGAGCCCAAGACAGCTGAATCAAGTTTTTCTCTTTGGCGCGTTCCCGCTCCCAGTGGCGGCTCTACTTCGTTGCAGAAGCTGCTTGATGATGATCAATGCTGTTCGGCCAACCCTGAGGTTGAAGTCTCGTGCTCATGTTGTTTTGCTGAACATGCGGAAGCTGTGTCTAAGCGTCTTTCTTTGAATGACTGGCTTCTCATTCAGACTCTGAGGGCTGATGTCAATGATAAGAAAAACACACGGCTATTTCACTCCCCGACACGGTTGTTGTTGCTGATGCGTCTTGGGATATGCACCTTGCCGTGTGTCACTTGGGTGAGTCTGCGTCTTCCGGGCATTATGTTTTGCTTGTTCGCTCAGGTCACGATTGGCTGTTGTATGACGATGGAACTTGTCGTGTTGCCTCTGCTGAAGACATCTTGGATATGCCTTCTTCCTGGTCGTTTGTGTTGTATCGTCGGCGTTGTGAAGGATCGTCGCCGCAGTCTCCTGCTGTTGTTGTTGACATCGCTGCCTTGCCTGCATCATGTGCTGATGCCGTTCCTTCGTCAAACCCTCCTGTTGCCCACCCCACGGTTGGTCCTTGCAGGGATGACCGCCCTGACATGCCGTCTGCTGACAAGCGTGCTGACAGTGTCAATGATTCCAGCGGCCCTCTCCATGCTGATTTGTGCAGCTTGCTTGCGGTTTTGTCTCAGCGGGTTGATGCGCTTGAGGTTGAAGTGCAATGTCTTCGGGGAGCTGGTTCCCTTCATGAGAAGCTTGTGTCCTTGGCTTGTCCGGGTTCTGGTCCGTCCGTGCCTGTGCGCTCAACTCTTGGCGATGCTTGTTCTCCCGGTGGTGACCGTCTAGGAGACACGGTTGCGAGCAACCCTGGCTGTGATGCGGATAAGCTTGTTGTTGCCTCTTGTCAGGGTCAGACCGGGATGCAGGCCCAATCCTTCCCCTGTGGCCCTCCTCCCCCGGTCGTTGTCGAACCTGTTCCTTCGGACGCTTTACCAAAACGGAAAAAGCCAGTCGAAAAACAAAGCAGCAATCTGTCATCAATTCCTGTGGGCTCTTTTCCCCGTTCCACCAATCCGGCAATTGTGGCTGAAATCCTTCGCTTGCAAACTGCTGGCTTTGCTGAAGTTGCTTGGATTTTTGAGCGCTTGCACGCTGACTCCATTTTGCTTCCTTTGGCCCAACAGGCGCAAGACGTTGGTGGTTGGAAAAATCTGGGTGAAGCTTTGACTTATAACAGTCGTGAAGCTCAAACTCAACTCCAGAATGATGGCATCCATAGCCCAAGCGTCCGCTGGCTTGTGTTTCGCATGCTCCAGCGTGGGAGGTATAATCGGTTTGCTTCTGTCCTGGCGGCTGGTCATTGGGACCTCTTGCGTCAGAGTTTGGCTGTGTGCGACGTTCCTGACTGGTGGTCGCCTCCTTGGTGTCGTCCTGTCCATCGTCCGCATGCTGCGCAAGCTCGTGGTCGTCGCCCGTTGCTTCCTCATGAATGGCATCGCGCCCAAAGTTCCAAACGCAGTCGCCCCCCTGTTCCTGCTGCTCCTTGTGTTGGTGGCCCTGTCCGTTCGCGCAGTCGTTCCCGTTTTTGCGATCAAACCTTGCCTGTGCCGGTTGCTCAACCTGCTGTTGTTGGAGCTCGTAAGGTCTCTGTGGCTGTTCCCACCTCTTCTGTGAAGAACAAGAAGAAGCGCAAGGCGAAAGGCCAAGCTGATGTCAAAGGGGGTGAAACTGAATCTGGTTCAACTCCTTCCTTGTTTCGGGTTGCTGCTATGAATGTGACTTCCCTTTTTTCCCGTGTTGCTGCGGTCTGTGCTCTTACGTTTGGTCTGGCGTGTGTCTCGGAGACTGCTCTCACCGGTACCGGGCAAGCCAGTGTTACTATGCGACTGCAGCAGTCAGGGCGTTGTGTAGTTTGGGGCGCTCCTGTGCATGGTCCTGGCGTTTCGTCGTCTCGAGGTGTTGCCTTGATTGGTGGTCCTGGCGTTCGTCTTTCGCCGCTTGATCTCCCGGATTGTCTGTTGGATTATTGGGCAGATGGTCGTATTGTTGCTGGCAAAGTGTCTCAGCAGTTTGGCAAAGCGGATATTACTTGTGTTGCGTGCTACGGTCACGCACATGATGTTCAACGGCGAGAAGACATGCTGAGCCAGATTGTTGGTTGGGTGCTGTCGTTGCCCGGTCATGTCCTTGTCGCTGGGGATCTCAATTCCTCTCTTCAGGATTCACTTGCTTTACACCAGCTCGTGCGGCAGGGTTATCGAACGGCCAATCCTCAGGAAGTTGTGACATGCTGTGCTCATAACTCTCACACGGGTTCCGTTATCGACCATGTCCTTTTTTCTCCTTCATTGTTGCAGTCCTTTGTGTGTGGGGAGGTTCTCTCTGCTGCTCCCTTCCCCACCCACCGACCCGTTTGCGCTGATTTCGATTTCAATCCTGCTCATGACTCTTGGAGTGTTTTGCAACCTCCTCGGTCTTTCCCTCTTTCCGAGTGTGTCTCCCGTTCTGTTAAGTCCCAGGATTGGTCTGCTGACTTTATTCATGTCTCTAATCTCCTTGAAGATGAACGCCCTGATGATGCGTATGCTCTATGGACCCAACTCGCTGAATGTGAACTTGCGCGGCAGTGCCGACTTGGTGGAAAAACTGTGTGCTCCTCCCATTTCGGTCGCGCTGTTGTTCCTGCTCTTAGGGTTTGTGATCCGCAGTCTCTTCGGCTCCAAGGTGATGTTGACTTTCGTCGACTTGAACGCGCTCGTGCTGGCTTAGCTGAACTGTGCTCCTGTTGGGATTCTTGTGTTGCTAACAATCACAGCCAAGCCATTTGGACCAATGCTCGTCGTCGCATCCTCCTTGTGTTTCGCTCCCATCCTCTCCCGAGCCAACTCCCTGGCAAGGTTGAAGTCCAAACTCAACTTGATGGGTTGCGGCGCACGATTGATCGGCGCAATAAACAACGTCGCGATGAAGTTTTGTCGGCCTGGCGCACTCGCATGCAAATGTCGCAGGCTGAAAGATTCAAATGGGCTAAGGCCAAATACACCTCCTGGCAAAACATTCACGATACCGCTGCTTGCTTTCGAAAGGTTGAAGAGATCTGGCAACCGATCTTGGCTCGACGCCCGGATGCAGCCCCTTCTTGCCCATCAAACTTCACCGAAAATGGTTTTGCTGAGCCTGCCTTGTCTAGCTCTCTCAAAAGTACGTTGCACCAGCTTGATATGCTTCGCATGTCTGGTTCTGATCTTCGGTCTGCTGTTGACAAAATTGCGGCTCACTCCGCTTGTGGTGCTGATGGTTGGCGTCGGTGTGAGTTGCTTGCCTTGCCCGCCTGTTTTTGGGATCTCTTGGCTCAGGTTTTGTATGGCATGGCTGCTTCTGGCACTTGGCATCCTTGTTTGCGCACGGTTGTGACTACTTTGATTCCCAAGAAAGCTTCTGTTGACTTTCTGACTGATCCTGCTGGTTTGCGTCCGATCTCTGTGGCTTCTGTGGTTTACCGTGCTTGGTCTGGTGTCGTTGCGCAACGTCTGCATGCTGTTTTGGAGTGTTCTCTGCCATCGTGCTCTCATGGCTTTCGCACTGGTGAGTCTGCCCAAGCTGCTATGGCCTCCACGTATCTTCGTTGTCAAAATGCTTCCTTGTCTGGTTGTCATGTTTATTTGGTTTCCTATGACATGCACAAGTGTTTCGACTCGCTTCCTTGGCGCAAAGTGCGTGACAGCTTGGTTGAATGCGGCGTGCAACCTGCGTGTGCTAGTGCTCTTCACAGTCTGTGGTCTGGTCTTCGTCGTATTTGGAAACTCCAAGGTCGTTTCTCTGACGCGTTCTTCTCCAGTACTAACGGCCTGTTTCAAGGGGACCCTAGCGCTCCGGCGTGTTTGTCTGCGTTTCTCTGCTGTCCTATTCGTGAGTTGGCTCGTCGTTTTCCTGAGGTTTCTATCTCGCTTTATGCTGATGATGTCCTGTTGTCTTCGCCTCATCTGTCTCAGCTTCACGCTGCGCATGATTTCTTTGTTAGTTGGCTTCAGGACCAGCATGTCACCTTGAACATCGGTAAGTGCAAGTGGGCCAGTACTTGTCCAGGCAATGATGCCGTGAGCGCGGCTCATTTTCAAATTGGAGGCGTCAACTTGGGGCGTCTCACTATTTTGGAAATATTGGGTGGGCATTTTGATCTCGGCGCTCTCTGCGTTGGCTCTTCTGCTCACTGGACTGCGTTGTTGGACAAGTTCTTAACCATTGCCAAACGGTTCAAGTGTTTGTCGGTCGGGTATGAACCTCGATCTAGAGATATTGGGGCTTTGATGAATATGCTCACTTACTCTGCTATCGCTTGGGATCCTCTGAGTGCGGTTGATGCTCGCACACAGCGCATCCTTGTCAATGTGCTCTCTGGTGGTCGCACCAATACCCGTAGGTGCTTAGAAGTTAGTCTTGCTCTTCTCAGTCCTATTCATCGGTCCTCTATTCCTCATGCGCTGCTTCATGAACAGGTTGCGTTGTTGTTTCGGCTGGCAAATACCAATTTGGAATATCAACAGCTTTTGCAGTCCCATTTCCATTTATGTTCTGAAATGACTTGTCCTCCTGCTGATTCCTTTTATGTTCGGCTACAACAGGCCCTTCAGGCTTTTGGGTGGAGGTGGGTTGCTTGGAATCAACTGGCGTCTCAAAGTGGACAAATGTTTCATCTAGTCTGCAAGACCATGGAATGTCGCCGCAGAGTTATGTGTCAATCCTTCGCCCAGGCCTCTGATATGGCTGATGTGAT